ATAGCCTAAGTGGGCCGGGTTACCCTAATTTGGAGTAGCCGTAGTCACGTGCCACGTGACTTCCCCGGATAACAATAGTGCATATTGAATATTGGTGGCGCCACTCACATGACCCGCAATTTCGATGGCCTCCCTGGTCGTGTTATTATATTAGAATGTGAGCATTTTGTGGAAAAGTTCTCCAACCTTGTTTTATGACTTAAGGGTTTTCAAATCGGGAGAATATTCCCAATTTGTCTAGTTCAATCCAAAGATGGATTACAAAATAAAGTTTATCTTTTAAATTGTACATTGTACTAATTGATAAACCGTATTTGGCCATCAGGCATTTTGATATAAAAGTTTGCATATTAATAAATTAATTGTTTTTTTTTTTTGAAATCAATTAAAAAAAATTAATTCCGAAAGGCTGTTTATAATGTTCACAATTTGTTTTAGGTTAATTTCTGGAAAATAAGTGCGCATTTGTTTTGCAAGTTGGTAAATACTAAAAATAGGAAAAATGTTCTTGTCACCAGTGATGATAGTACTTAAAGTCAAAACAAAATTAATTAATGCGTTATAACTTGCTAAAATTAGGGCCAGTATTGGGACCGTGGTTAGAGTTGTATATAGTAAAGAAATTTTTTTAGCAAGAACGCAAAAGGTAGTTTCATAGAGATTATGTCACCGCCGGTCGTTCATATAAATCAAATATATGTACTAAACAAATTAAAATACTAACTAAATGTGTAAGATAATAGCCAAAATAAAATTAGTGGTTCATTTGCTATATTTTATGCTTAACGCTATCCTAAAAGGAGTTAGTCTGTTATTCAAATAGAATAATTGTTATTGTAATTTCCAAGCCAATCGAATTTCTCCTTTGTCGAAACTAATGAAAAAATTTTTATTATAGATGATATCTGTTCAAATCCTTGACATGTAGCCCACTCTCATTATAGTGAAGCAATCAAGTCTATTGTTTAAATTTTTTAAAAATTCACTGTATTGAAAGTTTATTAATAGATTTACTATATCGAAAGAATTTTATACGTATAGACAACCCATTTCATTGAAACCATGCTGCCAACTACTATTTTGCCTGCTGTACGTTTTTTTTTTTTTGAAAAGACATGTATCCGAAATTACATATTTTCGGCAACCCTTTTCTTAGACAAGATATTTCTCTGACGATTATTTCCTGACATAATTCTAACCAGCACTAACTTAAATCGACCAACCCTAATATTAAATCGGGCCAATTGTATGATATTTGTCGTTGAGATGTCTTGCCTAAGAGAAGGCTGTCAAAAACACACCTTATCAGCAATATGGTGCCAATGAAATGGGATGAGAGTATTAATTTATTAGTTGCCACAAGAAATTCTTACTAATATTATTAATGATAATGTTTATAATGGTGTGAGGGCAATATTGGCCACCAAAGTTATTATTACTAGAATACACAATAAATGCTACTCTCGTAAGAGACCTTACTGCTACTGGGATATTCGGAGCCAAAAGTCCGATTAACATGATGGTACGTACGTACGTAGCTAAAATAGAAATCATGTTTCATGCTATCCTAAAAGCGGTTACTTCAATTATTAGTTCATATCAATATTTGATCGACCCAATGTGCATTCACTGAACACATCAACATTCACGTGACTAAAGAATTATATTCAGATCCTTCTAAATGTAACATCCTAAATGCACGCCCTATGAAAAACCTTTTAGATCTTTTTACTCCCTAAATGTAATACCTCTAAATGCATTTTTTACATAAGATCCATCACACAATGCTAAACAATCTATAAAAAGTAAACCTTAGATTTTATCTAATTTAGTTAATCTGCGACATCTATAATCCCCTTATGACTGCGTAACTGTCTAACGGAAACTAATGATGAAACATGAAATTACTCGGAGTTATTTAAACTTGATTTACATGATTTAATCTTGTAATTTTAGTTTAATTCTATATGGATCCTTTTAAAAATTATTTATTCCTTTGCCTACTTATTTTTCTTGTTTGGACTTCTGCTGGTGTGGACGGTTTTACGCCGCTCGGACGTTTCAGACAAAGTAGCGCTCTTGTAGGGAATAGGCTTTACTTTTTTGGTAGCGCTATTATTGTACAAGCGAGAGAAAATGTTTTCCTCGATGTAACCCTTTCGACGTTAGATACTTCAAATCCTTCATGGTCCTCATCAAATGCTTCTGTCCCGACTAATTCGGCTTTTGCAAGCGCATGTGTTGGAGGTCCTAATAAAAATACGATATTTCTTTTGGAACATCTAGATACAAATAATGCGGGTATTAATAACACTGCAGTATATGCCTTTGATACTGTCAGTGGGACATGGACTACTCGCACTATGACTGGGACGCTCCCTGTAAGTCGACAACAATTTCAAGCCGTTAATGACACTAATGGCAAAATATATATGTATGTTTATATTTTATCTTTATTCTATCATTATATTATCTTTATTTATATCTTTATTTTAAATTTCTTAGGTTTGGAGGAATCAGTGGCCTTGGTGTTTCTTTTAATGACATTTTTATACTTGATACATTGAGCTCGGTTTGGACACAAGGCTCTTCTATTGGTGCTCCAACAGCACGTTCCGACTTTTCTGCTACACTTTTAAATAATGGTCTTATACTTTATATAGGAGGTGGTGACAATATTAATATGGCCGAAGTAATTATATATAATTAAGCTTTTAAAATTTATTTTTTAAATCATTGAGGTACTAAATTTTTAAATTTTTCCTCTTCCGAGTTAGATTCCAATTTTTAATACTAATAGTGGTTCATGGTCTACAATGGTAATGTCCTTGACAACCTTTTTTATACTTATTTTTTATATCTCTAATAATGTATATATAATTATTAGGTTGCTGCTGGTGATACAATAAATCCTAGAAGTGGTCATACTGCTGTATTATCCCCAGATGGACATGTTATAATTTACGGTGGAGTTAAAAATAACACTGCTTTCGATCAAAGCCAACAGTTAGCCTCATTGGATACAACTGTTAATCCGTTTACGTGGTCTAAAAAATCATTGAATGGTATTAATGTACCACCTCCACTTTCATACCATTCTGCATCTATAGTAGGAAACTTTATGATTTTAGCATTTGGTAATTATAAAATACTTTCATTCAATTTATTTAAAATGATATATCTACATATATAAATTTTTAATTTTTTTTTAATTTATAAAAGGTGTATCTGGCGTGAGTAATAGTGCTTTGAACTTGAATAGTTTGAACACACAATTATACCTTCTTGATACTCGAAATTTCATGTTTGTTACGGACACATTGCAACGCCCTACTTCACCTACTTCACCTAATCCTCAAAATCCCTCAGTTACTCAAATTCAAACTGTTATTGCCTCAAATTCTAATGCATTAAGTACAGGTGTAATTGTAGCAATTCCATTAGTTTCAATTTCCATTCTTGCTATAATAGGCTTTACAGGATATTGGCTTTATAAAAAGAATAGGCAAAATGATATTGTTCGTATAGCAGGCTCTAAAGAATATTAGATGTTTATGTAAAATATTTAACTAAATCCTTTATCAAATTATAATTTATGTATGAATTTTTTTAATCCATATATATTATGTAGTATAATATATGAAATTTATCGAAAAGTAAATATAAAATAAAAACAAATAAAATACTTGAGGCGTTGTCAATCTAAACTAGGGGTTGGGTTAATCACGTGAATTTAGTGATATTTTGGAAATTTATCCAATTAAATTTTAACAAATTCTAAAATGTCACAAAAATCATGTGATAAGCCCGAATTATTAAAAACCTCTAATCCTAACATCGTATCGTGAATATTATTGCTTTTTTATTTAGTAAAAAATTAAAATAATTGTGCAGCTGAAGCTGGGATTGGCTGAAGCTAAGATCAGGAGGTCTCTATTTAAACCTATAATACCTACCAAAATTCATTTGTGCTCTTTTATTAATAAAACTACCTCTAAATCCTAACTCAACTCTAAAAAAAAAGCTACCAAAAAAGGCCCTAAACATTTTTAAAATTTAATATTAAAATATTTTAAAATCTCAGCTTAAGCCGATCTCGCTTCGGCTGTCACAATAAATTAGTGTATATTTTATCCGAAGCTTGTTGTAATGAGTAATTAGCCATATAACTATATAAAAGATGATATTTTTAAAATTAATAGTCTTCAAATAATTATTAATATGATGTAAAATTAAATGAAATTAAAATTTGAAATTTTGAATTTATAATATTGTATGATACTTAGTTGCAAACTTGTCAAGAAAACTTCCTGCGCAGTGTCTCATTTCTATACACACCCTATAAATTACCGGACTTGATCATATGACAACATGGACGGTGGCTTTCAAATTTATTTTTTTGATTTTTTTTTTTTATTAAAAAATTTACAACTAAAAATAGGAAACAATAAACTTGTATCTATTTGTATTAAACAGAAGAAAAACAAATTTAATAATAGAAATGTCGACCTCTAATTTTATAAATGGTTAAACATGCTTAAAATTAAGCAACGCAAAATTTATACAGATGTTTTTGCCTATTCTTCTTGCACAGCCTTAATTAAATCAATTTCTAAATACGGTAAAGGTTTCCTTTCTCGAACTTGACAGTCAACGTAATCCCACAATTGTTCGATTGTGTTTAAATTTGGGCTTTGTGGGACCCAATCTAAAACTGTGATGTTATGTACCCAAATGTATAATTTGACTTGTGACATGGGTTAAATCTATTGCAAGATTAAATTTGGTCATTGTGATCCACAGTACTGAATTCTCAGTAATAATGTTAACATAAACATCTGGATTTATGTTTCAACTAAATATACAGTAGATTTAATGCAATTCATACAATATGCTTCACATATTTTTCACCGTACTTTTACCCGTTGTAAAAAGGTAAATCGGCGAGTCAGTCGCTCCACAGTCGGATATGTCGTGTAACCACTAAAGGCGGGAGTTGTTATTTTCCGAAGGGCCTTTTGGCCTTTATTCATAATTGTAGAGTTCTATTTACATTATGCGATGCATATGACCGATATCACCTAAAAGACTCTTCAGACCGATCGTTGCTATCCGTTGACACCAGAGAACCGGTCTCGGTGTGTCGGTCGCTTGTCGATGGGATATGTCGTGTAACCTACGAACGGCTTAGTCGATAAGAGGCGGTTAGATTTGGCGAGTGGTGTGTTTATGATCGTAGGTTTTATAATATAACGTCAAGAAAGCAGGAAAGTATTTGGGTCAAAATGTATTGTAAGCACCAACTAAACTACTGCTCAGGTAGGGCACGAAGCCTTTATTATATACTGTTATATTACATATGCGCTCTTTAAGGTATTAAACATATTAAACGTATTATGCCTCTTATATCCCTTTAACGTCCCTTACTACTTAAAACCCATAAATCTCATATATCCCTTTAACTACCGTTTTCCCTTAAAACTCTTATTGCTCCTATATCTCCTAACAGATCGAAAAGACTTTTAGGAGCGATAATCCTGGGAAGCACATATTAGGTAGATGATCAACATAGCGTTGGTTGTTACTGCGTCACATCGACACCTCCTTCCACGTGCTCCCGAGGTCATGTTTCACGGCTCACACCGTTATATCTGTCATATGCGACTAATCGGTCGCATGCGACGAATGCGATCGACCTCCTTCCTAATTTAGTAATGGACCCCAAGCAGCCAGGGTCCATACGGTCCCACACCATCCGTCTGACTTAAATAAAGTAAACCTAGACTCATTTGACCACACAGTTCGTTTCTATTCTTCTTTTTACGTAAGTTTTGCTTTGCATCAATTATATCGATCGATACGTTGTTGTGTGTCAAAAGAGGTTTACAATGGGCAGATAGACCTCTTAAACCAAGAATATGATTGATTAAATGTACCTGTAATACTAATAAGAGACAAAATCTATCCTTAAAAACAATTTTTTTGCAAAGCACGTAGATCACAAGTTGAGAACACTTTTGAATGGAAGAACCAGTTTTTTTGTACGAACTTATATTATCATACACTGTTGAACGAGAAATTTTTAACGCAGCAGAAATTTTTGGAGCCTTCGAACCTTCAAGACAAGCCCCAATTATTTACTCTCTTTGTTTGTACGTTAATTCTTTCCCATTCATATTTTATATAGGAAAGATCCACAAAATATGGTTATATTTATAGATAAGTCTGATTACTAATTGAAAGGCGAATCTGTCATAAGTTTCCACCTATCTATAGCTTATTTTTACTGCGTCACACAAAGTCCGGTAATTTGGTGTATTCAATAAAGCGTCATAAACGCATCTAATATATCATGGTAAATTCAATAAAAAAAAACCTCCAATGTATTTATAGAAATTAATAATCTTAACGGCGGCGATGTAAGCTAATTACTAAAATAGCAATTAATTAACACATTGTGGCAATCAACTGGTTCAAAAAATTGCAATTAATCACCTCAACAATCAATTATTCGATAGGCCTGGCGAAACCAGTGTTGCCAATTAGTAAAACTCGCGCAAAAATTGATATAGAATGATAAAATATATAAAATCTGATAAACTCAGAAATAATCATCTGTGTGAGTGATAAAACTAGGATTTATTTTATTTGATTAGTACCAGGAATGGAATGCGTAGTGATGTGCCGCGTACAGTACTATACGTACTGTACGTACGTACTGTACGCGAGAATTTTGTCGATCATTTTATATGTAGTCTGTTTTATTTGCTAATTAGCCAATCAAAATTAAGGGAATTTCTATTCTGACCCGGGTAAAAGTGACCCATCACGTGGCTTTGTTCGTGTCATGTTGCACGAACTACTATGAAGACAATTGGAGGAGATTTGGCCATTTCATGAAGCTCACGTGACCTACGCGCTTCGAATCAGCCAATAGAATCACATATAAAATTACCTGCAATTTAATTGGCCGCTTCTAAGCGAGGAGGTCACGTGAATTTATTGCAATGGTGACTTCATTAAATATACTATACTATATGTACTGTACGTACGTACTGTACGTACTGTACGTACTGTACGTACTGTACGTACTGTACGTACTGTACGTACTGTACGCGAAAAAAATTGGGCTATCATATAAACGGCACATCACTAGGAATGCGACCGTTCAATTTGTAGATAATTACACATTATAATCAATCAATTTTATCTCGAATTTTAGTAAATTAGCCAATCAGACTGCAAAAAAAAAAAAGTTGTCGGATTCACAGGAATTCAAAGAATATGTTATAAGACGAAGCGAAAGCATTAATTTATCCGTTAAATTTACTCTAGTTATAATATTTATAAAAAAAAAACATTTAGAAATGCAAACTGCGTATTGTTGCGCGGCAAATCGGCGAGTCTGTCGCTAATTCCTTCCAATTCTCGTGTACCTACGGCGGCTTAGTCGAAATAGGCGTGTTAGATTTGGCTGGGTGGTTTATCTGTAGGCAAGTACTATTCTTCCCTTCTAAGTCTTTCCTTCAACCTATCCTTCTATTAACCCTTGCTTGCTCTTATCTTCCTTCTACTTCCTTAACCTGGGGAACAGCAGAGACCGTTAATGTTACACATATTAAAACTGGTGAGGGATTATATCCATCACAATTGAATCCAACATAAATATTTTAATTTGTGATTGATCACAGGCGAGAGGGATTCACTTTGGATCGGGCACTGTCTCTGCTGTAAACCTGGGGTTACGATACGTCGAATCGGGGTCGGAATTCTCTTGCGTTAACGGCTGGGTCACGTGACTTACGGCGAACGATTTAAATGCGCTTTAGTGATTTACAAGGAGGCGAACGATTTGGATAACGATGGGTTTAACGATAGTTTTCGGTTTGGGTTAGGTTATAGTCACTTTTATTATGAGTCAGGAACGTATTTTTATGTATTGCAAAAATGTATTTGCTTGGGGGTTGTCCCCCCGGGCGGAAGGCCCTTTATTTATAATAAAACTTTTATTTACATTGGTACTTAATTTCTAACATAAATGTAATATCCGTTATATCCTAATTATATTTGATAAAAGGCCGATATCTCATTTATCTCATAAGTAAAAGAAATAACATAAGTAACAAAAGTAACGGAAGTAAGAGAAGTAACAGAAGTAACATTTCTGTTACTTTTCACGTGACTTTGAATCGGGTAAGGATCGTCGCTCGATTCGGGCCCTCGTGATTCCCAAAAAATCGGGCTCACAGTTACAGAATACGAAATATTCCAAAGAAAATAGTGATAAAGTTAAATGTAATTAAAGTTTAGAAATTAATGTGTGATTTTTTTTTAATTAATGTTGTAACAGTTTATACGAGTGACGAAAAGGGAAAACCTGTAAATCATTTCACTCATTGAGTGAGATGATTTACAGGTTTTCCTTTTTCGTCACTCATACGTACTATTGATAGTTTTTAAGTGATGATAAAAGTAATCTTGAATATACTTACAACATAAGATTTACAAATAAATTTCGTAATATTTGAAAGGTGGACTTTTAATGATGATTAATAATATCATAAAATTCTATCATATGAACCCTAATTTAAATCAATAAATATATATTTGAAAGTGAAACTGAATTTAAGATTCAGAATTTTGAGTTGTTAGTATAGTTATTCCGCTCTAATGGTGTTAATCATTCTGGCGTATCAGTGGAATTGGCTCTTTTAATTAGATTCTAATTTAGTCATTCTAAGCGTAATAAGAATAATAACAATTATCGCAAATTAACAAATTATACGTATATCGGTTAATATATCAGAGAATGACATTTTTATACTTTTGTTTGTAAATTTAGGGTTCAAATTTAAAGTATCTAAATAAAGGTCCAATTCCGCTAATCCATCAGAATGCGACTCTAGCATGACTAACAAGATTAGTTCTGCAGTTACATAATTGTATTTAAAATTTTGATTATGATTAAGACGATTCTAATGAGGATTGTGACCAGAGATGGAACAAATTTTTTGAGACTGCGCAATGCAATTTTCATAATTCTGGTCAGCTTTATAATCCAGGCTTGAATTACCATTGAAATCATAACGGATCTGCATCACCTAATTGATAGAATCTATCGTTCATAATTCTGGTCAAACTTGCAGATCATTTTATATAAGTCTGCATCACCACCCCAAAAAATTTCGCCTACTACGTGTTGTTGTGTATTAACCCAACCCAGAAATTGTTTGAAAAGCCAACCTGGTGAATCTCAACTAACCGTAAATTAACAGATTTTACCCCACGCATAACTGTCGTAGCCAACCTATTACCCCGTTAGACGCGTTTCTCTTTCATCCTTATTCATATTTGGAAGTTTAGTATTTATCACGCAGCAACCAAAGAAGATTGGAAAAACTGCAAACAAGGCCTCGATACATGATCTTATAAAAAAAATTGGTTCACAATTATATAGTTATAATAAAATTTCACGAGAAAAATTTTTTTGTTAGTACGCAGAAGGCACTTTAATAGGCAAAATTTGAGCTACGAGCATTTTTTTTGTTGGTTTGATTTTTTTTCGCTTTTCTGGCCAGCGAAATTTTTTTGACTGGTGATTTATCTGCTATTATCATTTGACCACATTTAAAGCTGTTTTGTTCTAGATCTGGCCAAATTATCTGCGAATTTGAAGAATTATTAACGATGAGTTCTTCTATTTGCCAAATGATGAAAATCTACCGATATGCAGAAAAAAAGTGAAAAAACCGAAAAAAAAACAAAACAAACCAAAAACTGACATCTAAACTAATCATGGAGCACATATATTAAGTAGATGTTAATTTATATAAACGCGAAACCTAGTCTCTAAGGACTGAGACTGTGTAGTAGATTCAAAAAATCCTCGATTTTCCCATCTCTAATCATAACTGAAGTGAATAGATCTCAGAATCCTATGTTTTGATTTTAGGATCTTACTAAGACGGTCATTTTTTGGTGATAAAGTCATTCTAAACAGATTGGGTAAATAAAAATCATTTACTGTTAAAATTAGCCAAAGTACATTAACTAAAATTTTATTTAATACGATACGATGAAATATTTATAATTATGTTCAATATGGAGTAATTCTTACTTTTTTGTAGGTATATTATTCTTTTATTAGTCAATATAATTTATTAAAGTCAGCTAATGTGTTTTAAAACATGATTTGAGTGCTGCAGAGTAAAAACCTGAAAGTGAATCTTTAAGTTTATCACTGTAGCGGACTTAGTCTTATAATGTATAATAACGACAAAGTCTGCTACAGTGATAAAGATTCACTTTCAGGTTTTCACTCTACAACACTAATTTAGAAAAACACCAGCGTCACCAATCATCGAGGCGCAGTTACATGATTTTCCAATCTCTGACGTATGCAACTTTCTCATTCGTATTATTTCTAATTTTTTCCTACTTCTATTTACAAAAATGCAATATAAATTCTGTTTCTTATTCGTACTATTTATAATTGTTTCCTACTTATATTTACAACAAAAAAAACCCTCTTTATGTAAATAACAATCAAATATTGAATAGATCCAATATTTTAAAAAAAAACTACGTCCAATAATTATGTTGTGGCTGAAGATGAAAGCTTTAAATACTTAATTATAAAATTTTCAAATTATTTCTGGTGCATTTCTTTAGGTTTTTTTTTAATATTTAGGTCAGGATTTAGTTTTTCTAAAAGAATATAGGTGGATTTTGGTAATGTTTATATTTTTCAAATTGAAGCCCTTAATTTCCAGCCTCAGCCGCGATATTTAATTATTCTAAATGTTAATATTCTCATGTCACGAGCAATTTTCATCACATACACTTTTACAACTTTTATATTTCAACTAATCAGATGTAAAATAATTATATTGGTACCCATTTGCAACGTTAAAGTTAATAAAGTTTTCATTAAAGTCTTTGGGTACTTGTTACTGATTCAGCTAAAGGTTAGTACATGTTTAATTGGTTTGACTGTTTTATTTTCTTGGTTTAAAAGCTTTTTCCTATTACATTTGAAAATCGGTTGATATCAAAAGCATTCCAAATTAAAATCATGCTTTACGATTCGTGTAAATAAATTCATACAATAAAAATTGTTGACTCAGTAATTAAGTTTGAAAAATTTGGTTTATCAATATTTATCTCGATTCAATATTTTTCTTTTTTTAAAAAAAAAGTTATAATTCGAAGGTTATGGTCATAGGAAGACTTTCATATGATTGGCTGTTTAAATCAATTTAATTTACAGTTTAAAGTACTTTTTTAAAAAAATAAAACTACAAAGAATAAACAAAAAAGACATATATAAAAAGTTTTATCATGGTAGGACTTCACTAATAAACATAATCAAAATCCCTTTTGTTTTAGAGAAGTTAGCATTATAGCGACTTTTTAAAGATATATAGAATTGGGTTATTACCATGCTAACTTCTCTAAACCAAAAAAAAATCTTGATTATTCTAATAGTGGAGTCCTACCTTGATAAAACTTTCAATATGCTTCTTTTTTTTAAAAAAAGTACTTTAAACTGTATAAATAATGTAAAATTAAATTTATTTAAACAGCAATCATATGAAAGTCTTCCTATGAAGGTCATGGTATATATAGGTATAGGTCGGAAAATCATGTGGCTGCACCCTCGAATATTGGTTACGCTGATGCTTTTATGATTTAGTATCTAAAAAGGTCTAACCTAATTTTGGTTTAATTTCCGGATATTGAACCTAAATCAGTACCAGTTGAACTGGGTACTGGAACTGGACATTTCGAAAATTTCGTAGAGTATGGCTTGAAAGGCTTTCACTTCGCTCCCCTCAGTTCCAGTAAATAATGTTTATATTCTGGGTTTGCCGATACGTTTTCTACTTTACCAATTTAAAAATAGTTATGAAAACGTAATATTCTCTTATATATCGCAAATGAAAAACCAGAAAGTTTAAATGAGATACAGTAATATTTACTTTTACTTTATAGCATTGTAACACCAGCTCCTGAAAGTCATTTTCCGAAGGGACATATGTCCTTTGAAAAAATGACTTTCGGGGAATCATATGGTGGCCTGTTAGATTATCAAATGAATAAATTTTCATATGACAGGGTCATAGATGTGTACCTAAATTATTTTTAAAAATGTATTTTCGGCAAATATTTTGACATTGATACATTTTTTATAGAAAACCACCGAGTAATATGCCATAATATGCATATGAAATACTTTGATGAAATGGATATAGACAGGGTAATAAAGTTTTCATTCTTTACGTTTCTCTTAAATATGTAGAAATAAAACCACTATAACAATATTATATATAGAATAAGTATATAATAATGTGAGTGATGACTCTTAATTACAAGTTGAAACGCAATATTTATAATTTCAATTTATACGGAAGTTCTGAACGCGCAGAGTTTTAGTTTCTTTCTGAAGGTTATTAAGGATGGACAGATTGTGAAAATTTATGCCATAAAATCATTTGTTAGTTGGTATTATTCAATTAACTCGTATTACAAAAAATTAAATTCCTTGTGCAAGTTCTCAAATTTTCCGCGCGATGCTTCCTAACCCTATTATTTCTAATTAGAGATCCATAATTTGAAAAAATCAACTACGTAGTTGACCTAACTGATTTATAAACTTTAAAATAACTAATCGATCGATCAAGTCATCAACTAGTTCAATTCGAGATATTCCGTCTAGTCGGGCTGATTCGTGTTAATTTCTTTAATTAGACAACTTTAGTCACAAACCTCTAAAAAGAAAACAGCCAATTAGCTAGTTCAATTTTTGATTATACCGATACCAATACCAATACGCACGAAAACAAATAATGATTAACATTCAAAAATAAAATTTCATGAATAGAAAATGACAATTTATTCAACAAACCATTTTAATCTTAAACTTTTATCTTGAAGTGCTTAAGCTACTTTATACTAAATTTCTCTCTTTTGTGTTTCTTTTATTGCATAATACTAATCAGTATTCCCTTTTTCCAAATACATGTATTATCCGAATACGTTTTAAAATTAAAATATTCGAAGAAATTGGTGCAAAAATTAAAGATACGATTAGAACAGGTCTTGGAAACTCTGGAATCTGGGAAATATTGTGAATTTCCTATTATTTAGTGATCTACATCTTTCACAACTTTTGAAAAAGCTATAAAAGGTTAACTTCACTATAACGATGATATTATTAATTATCGTATAAAATTTGGTTAGTATCATAGTTTAGTTTAATTTAAAACATAATTATGTTTTGGTTTGAATGAATGCTAAAACCAAATAGGAAAAAAATTTGGCTAGGTGTTGATCTTGAATTACAATTAATATATTGTATTCCGTTGGTTAAAGATTGTACCTGAATAAAGTTTGCCTTGAAGATTGCAACCGTTTAACTGTTAAAAATTGATCCACAGTTCATGATGCTTGTGGGCCAAAATTGTTTTAATGTTAGCTGAATTAAATATCCAACAAAATTAAAAAAATTAATAATTGTATATGGTTCTAATCTTAGTCTAGTAAAGAGAAACAATTGTCAGCAAACATCACAACCTTCTGCTATAAACGATTGTCAGGAACATCACAACCTTCTGCTATAAACGATCAAGATTAAACAAAATATATAAATACCTTGAGACTTTAACTAACGGAATATGGCTTCTCAAATGAAAAAAGGGCGCTGTTAAGATTTATTAATCATGCTGAATTTTCGTAAATGAAATTATAAAAAGTGAGTATTTGAACATTTCTATTCTTTACAAATTAAAATTTGGTTATACTGTAGTTAAAAAAAATGAGGCTTCAATTGCTAATTATATTCCTAGCGTTGTTAAGCTTAAGTGACTCAGCTAAATTAAAATGTATTGATATTACTTCAAACATGTTTGAAACTCTTAAACCTTTACCACCAAGTAATGGCCCGGTTACTCGGTGTTACAATTTAAAATTAATAACAAAAAAGATGACACCTGATGGATCTACACATCTTGTGTAAGATCCGTAAATTTATTAAACATAAGGAAAATTTTAATCGTTTCTTGCTTCTTATTGACTTATTGATTTATTATCATAAATTTAGGCGGACTGTTAACGGGCAATATCCTGCCCCGATAATTCAAGCAAACCATGGAGATAGACTTATAGTTAACGTAATAAACAAATTGGGGGAACCTTCTACAAGTAAATATATTTGTTAAATTAGTTAAATAATTTGTTAAACATCTGAATAACCTTAATTCATATAGTTTTTTATTTTAAGTCCATTGGCACGGTATATTTCAAACAGGCACAAACTTTTATGATGGAGTTCCAGGCATAACACAGTGTCCGATCCCTAACCATGGTAGCTTTACCTACAATTTTACCGTTAATCAATATGGTAAGTTGATTTTTAGATAATTAATTACAATTTGAAAATTTTTTAATTAATTAAATTTTTTTTAATATTTTATCAAGGAACCTTTTGGTACCATTCACATTTCTCGGGTCAACTTGTTGATGGTCTCAAAGGTTCATTAATAATTCACAATCATAAAGATCCATACCTTAAAAAATACGATTACGAATATGTGATAACATTATCAGAATGGTATCACCTTCCATCCGATGAGATTGCACCAATTATTCTTTCTCCTAGTTATCGAGGAGGTGATCCTATCCCTAGTTCTGGTGAAATAAGTGGCAAAGGACAATATAATTGTGCTTTTGCATCTAAAAATTCATCATGTAATCCGAATAACGGAGTCGCCACATATAAAGTTAAAAAGGGTAAAAAATACAGATTTAGAATTATTAATATGAGTGGGTCAACTCATTATATATTTTCGATTGATGAACATCCACTTACACTTATTGAAGTTGATGGTCATTTAATAAAAGAAGTCACTCTAAAAACAATTCCAATTCATACTGCACAACGATATTCAGTAATTCTTAATGCTAATAAGCCAGTTAAAAATTATTATATTCGTGCAAAACTTACAATTTGCACACCCATTAATAATCAAACTTTAAATTATAATTATTTATTAAATCCTAATGTTGTGGGAATTTTAAAATATGAAGATGCAAAAGATAAAACTCCTGATTCGAAAGCTTATCCGTTAAATGGATCAGATGAATGTACAGATGTGAATCCAAATATTTTAAAACCATATAAAATAAACCCTCCTAAAATTGCTACTCATAAGATTGATTTAGTGATTTCTTTTGGCAAGTTACCAACGACTGGATCAATTGCTTTTATTAATAACTCAAGCTTTGTAAGTTTTTATTTTATTTTAATTATTTGTAAGGAAATATTTTATATATCGTTATTATATAACAATAGTATAATAGTATAACAAACAGTACAAATTAATTTCTCTTTTAGGTGTCTAATTTTAATTATCCGACAAATCGAAAAATTATTAATAATTTAAATGTAGCCAAATTTCCAAAATATGAAAATGCTTTTGCGTATGATTGCTACACTAAGGATTGTAAAAATGACGCTGTTGATATCTATATTAGAGCTAACACTAGTCGTTCTCATCCGTTTCATTTAGTAAGTATAATCATTTATTAATTTCTATAATTTTTTTTTCAACCCAAATTTCTGAAATAAAAAAAAAAAAAAAAAATAGCATGGACATAGCTTTTTCGTTATCTATAATGGAGGCAATCAAACTGGCATTGAACCTCCAGATCCATCAAAATTTAATTTACTTGATCCTGCTTATCGTGATACAGTAACTGTTCAAGGAAATAGGTATTTGGTTATTTTTTAAATATACTACATTTAACTAATTTATAGATCTTTTATAAAGCTAAATGACTGTTATCATTATTTACAGTACAACTGTAATACGTTACCCAATGGACAATCCTGGTGTATGGCTTATGCATTGTCATATGCATTGGCACTTAATGAAAGGTATGGCCTTACAATTAATTGAACGAAAATCAATAATTACGAATATGACAGTACCAGAGGATATCTTTGCACAATGTGCAGGTTAGATTAAAAGGAAATCATGATAATATATAAATTCATGGTGTGTTGTTTTGGTAATGTAGCTAAAAAAATGTACATGCCAATAAATAAATACTTAAAACTTATTCATAACTCTATGATTATACCATGTGACAATTTATGGGGTCTAAAATTTTTGATTATTGTACATTCTCATTCTATCATTACCCAATTACTTGCCGGCGGAATGTTAAGCATCCCCTGTGATTTCAATTCGGCCGACCAGAAGTTTGTTTTAACTAGGGATGGAATATAGTTGTTGGTAGAATTTACCCGACAATATCATTTTCCTGACAGTGATTTCTTCCCGATAACTATTACCACTAACCCTAACATAGCTCCAGAGCTCGAGAAAATGATAATAAAATGATTGTCGGGAAAATTATACTGTTGGCAAAATAATACTGTCAGTAAAATGAATGTCGGGAAAGTGGCGTTGGTGAAATCAGGTATCAGTAGCATGAGTGTCAGCAAAATTAGTACCACCGGTAATTCTTTTGTGCCGTAATGCGTTAATGCCGTAATGAAATATTTTCAAGCATAAAATAATTTACCAATTAGATATCTTCTTATCATGATGTTTTTCATGTTTGTAAAGTGATACACACAAATTACATTTTATAACTATGCTGCATATAAACAGATGGCTAAAAGATTAAATATTTATTATTATGCTTATGTGTTAGTAATTTTCTGATGTATTGGAATTAAGACATATAATATATATTATCTTTGTATGTTTTATTTAATTGTCATTATTTGTGCAAACTTTCTTTATAAGTACCAGGCAACAAACTAATTAACTTGCTATAACTAATGTTATAAATTTACAAATTGAAATTATTATGTCATCATAATGTCAAAGTATTGTATACACAAAAAGTCGAAATAATATTGGTGAAACAGAAAACGTGAATGCTTTACGAACTCTAATAATTCAGCTAAACATATAGTCTAGTTTGAATTAATAATATTCATTTACATGCATATTAATATAAAACCATAGGAATAGTTTTTTTAAAATAAACATTTATTAATGCTCATAAATGAATAAGTTTCATTTTCAGTTCAATTTAAGAACCTGCTACTTAAGCTTCGGCCTACAAAGCATCATTGTTTTTATTATTGAATATATTAGATTCGCTGTAAAATACAATTTTTAACAGAATTAATGCGAGTATAATGATTTTGTAATTTAGGAAAAAAATTTTTAGGTAGGATGTCAGCGGGCCAGGTAATTTTGGCGGCTGTGTCGGCCAAGATTTTGGCATCAGCCCATATCACTATATCTTTTAATCCGTATTTTTTAAATCAAATATTAAAAGTAGTTGGTTAGCAAGTAAAATTTTCATAAAAATAAAATAAGATTAAATTTCTCGTACTGCACCACAGCATTTAGGATTTTTGCCATAATTCGTAATAATTTGGTAATTTCTGAGTATATCCCTTACAAGATAACTAAGCAAGAGCTTATAAATTTAGATTTTTAAGCAATATAATGTGCTTTACAAACACTTTTACTTTTATACTCTTATTCAGCTAGGATTAACTTATATCTAATAGATTAAAAAACACAATTACGTTGCTATCAAAACAATTAATACATACTTTAGAATCAATACAACATATAAATGTCTCTGAAATGGTTTATAACACCTGGTAAAAATGAATAGATTCTCACCCCACTTCCATATTCAAAAATGTAAACTTACCAAATAAATATTAATTCTTATTTTAAGTAATAAATATGATATCATTTTATTCTACATTTAGTATAATATATAAACACGACAAAAAAAAACCAATAAATATATGATAAATTAAATAAATTGCTCCTTAGCCTTTTCAGTTTCAATTTTTTCCCAAAATTGAACAGCCTTTTGCTGGCCTTTTAGGGCTGCTAATTTAATATATAGTTCCCCCTTTGCTTTATCAACCGGAACCCCAAGCTTTCCTTTCCAATAAATATCACCCAAATTAAAAAGTGCAGTAGGATTTTCATGATCAGCCGCCATAGTCATATACTTAATTATTTCCTGTATTTTCATCTCATTTAGGGCATCTTTATCTTCAAGAAGGGTAAATGCATATCGAAGCTGTGCATCGGATATACCGTTATCGGCAGCTTCTTTAAAGATCTTAAGCGCAACTTGATAATCCTTTTTTACACTCCAACCACTTAATAAATAATACCCTTGCCAATATTTTGCCACGTTATTTCCAAGTTTTGCATGACCTACAAAGCATTCCCAAGCAATCTCATGCTTTTTTTCTTTGTGTGCTTTAATACCTTCTTCAAAAGACATCAAGGGTTTTATAATAGGCATTGTGCAGTTATCTAAATCAAAACCATCTAATTCATCAGGTGCTTTAAATAGATCACTAGGTTGAGAATCGGTGATGCAAACTTTTTCCTCGAAAGTTTTTGGAAGTTCTAAACTTGGGATATCACCAGAGCTGTATTTTTAGGATGTATTTGAGGTGAAATTCCTTTAGAAAATACATGTTCATTAAAAAGTGCTTTAAGTTTTTGTTGCATTTCTATGTCTGAGGGACGTGCTAAAGGTTCATCTTACCAAGCTTAGTAAGTGAAAATTAATTTTAGGTGGATTTAAATGAATAACTAAATTGGCAACTTAAACAAATGCAAATTATACGGGTAAATTATATTTACCCATTGTAATGAGCTTATAAAGTTCTCTTGGAATTGATGAGTCAAGGAAATTGTCAAGAACTTCTCGCTTTTTATTTACAACATGCTCTCTGATAGCATCAATATCCATATCTTTATAAGGATACCTTTGATGACAAAGTTCCCAAAGCATCATTCCAAAACTATGCTCAAAGCAAGTATTAATAAATTTATAAATGTTGTAATGCTAAGCTTGTTATATATTTCATTACCTGTACATTTCACATCGATGATTGTATCTTTGTAGTTGACTTTTTGAAGATTTTCGCATCTTTCCAGGTGCTAACCATCGAATAATGTCTGCCAAGGATTTTTCTGGATATAAAACATCTATAGATGTCATAGAATGACTGAGTTCGATATGTGAAATTTTAGGCTCAAATCTATCAGTGACCTATTATTTATATAAAACAAAAATATAAGTCTTTATAGAATTCGAAAGCTAACAATGATTAGTCTGATTAACGTAAATCTGACTAGCAATTCTATTTTTGAGTTATATACATACCAAGATATTCTCGCAACGAACGTCGTGATGATAAAGGCTACATTGATGCATGAATACTAGACCATTAAAAATATCACGTGCGAACTGTAATTTTGTAGGCCAGCCAATATTAAAATTTAAGTACATTTCACGTAGATTACTATATGCAGCCCAATCAAAAATCATAACTTGACTATTATCCACATATGAAATTCCATAAAAGTTAATAATAAACGGGCAAACACCTAATTTAAGAAGTGCAGCCAATTCAAGTTGTTGTATTTTATAATTTGCTCGCTCGACTGTTTGATCGGGACTCTTTAACTGTCCGGACTCGCCATGTTTAGAAATTTGACCTTTTTTACATGCAACTTCTATTCCACGGAAAATTTTTTTGACAGTTTTTCTGGATCCACGAACGTTATCATTAGAAGAAAATGGTTCTGATAATTCAATTGGATCTATTCTGGGAACTTTGTACTTATCAATCAGAAGAGCTGTTTTATCCATCACTGCAACTTGTAGTTGTGAACCTAGATGATTGGCGCTTGACATCAATGTAGTAACTTCCGTTATTGCTAACCTTATTTCGGCCTTTATTTCATCCTTCATTTCATTCATTGACTATAATTCATTGAGGTTTACACACAATGTATTAGCAAATAAAAAAGAAAAACTTATATATTAAAATTAAAAATAAAAAACAAAAATAATTTGATTTAAAACCATAATCATATATTACTTTTTTCAAAAACTCAAGATCTTCTGCAACATTTTTTGCCTCCATTTCTCTTTGTTCAGCATTATACATAGCCATAGTCAAATTTAAATCACGACAAACTTCTTCAAATTCTTTAATATTTTTTTTAAAAGCATCTTTAACAGCATTAGCATTTATAAACTTTTGAAAATAGTCCAATTGCGTAACTTCTTTAGAAAATTTCCTAATATTCTCTAAAACATTAACAAATCTAATCCAAGTATCATAATAAACTTGATCCCTATAATTTTTTTTATTTGCTTGATATTTTCGTTGCAATGATTAACCGCTGTTTGTGCAATTTCAACACGATCTAATAAAGCCATACATATTTTTTCATTACATTTTGCATTTTCATAGATTGATAACATTTGAGTAAGTATATTTGTGACCTTGTCAAATAAGGGAACGAATGGAGTGATTGCATCTCCTACAGTTTGAACAGCGGAGATTTTCTGCCCGGCCACTGCAGCTGGCCCACCAAATTTTGCATTTTGTGAAGATATCATTAAATTATGTGTATGATTCTCTTTTTCATTTTTTATTCCGGTGTAATCACCAGAAATCACATTACTCGCCAGAACACCTAAAAAACTCAAACTTAAGGTCTTTGAGCCAACATCAACTGTGATATGATCTTTTTCATCCATCTTATGAGTATCAATAATACACCACCTCATCGTGAGATTCTTGATCTCATTTTGTATTTCATCCAGGTTGTATTGGAATACTTCCACACTTAAACAAGTTTCTGAAAAATCCTTAAGTTTACTTTTAATAACTTGGTTTTTATTAAAATTTTCTGAATCAAAGCAAGTAACAAGAAAGCATGAATTTAACCATGGATTCAACAATGTAGGCACTGAGATTTCAACATTAATCGGCAATTGACCCGTTAATGTTTTTTTTCCATGTGCAATTTTGATATTACGAGTATGCATGCTAAAATATCCATATCCTTTGGCGAGTACTATCCAAAATACCTGTGCACCAACAGGTATGCTGTGATTTAAATAATAAAAATAGCAATGAATATATAATAATGATATCTATATGTAATTAAAGATGTCGAAAAATACCTTTTACTATCAAGTTTATTTATAGTAGCTCGGCATCCATATTGATTTATTAAACTAAATCGTATCATCACATCTGATTCATTTTGTCCATTAATAATCAAACAACCAAACATTTCATAATCGCTGTCTTGAAGTGGATTCTCAAATTGAATATTAATCTACTCTTGGTTATTATATGTGATTTCTGTGACACCTGTCATGACAATGTGATAATTATCTGAAACTATACTTTCTATTTCATTCTGTTTATCTTTAGGCAATATTTTATATAAAGGAATTAAATCTTGCGTTATTGTTTTCCAAGATTGTTTTTCTTCCATACTTTTTAATCGAAAATATATCTCATTATTTTTCACTATATCACCGTTAAAATCCAAAAAGAATGACGTATCTAAATTTTTTGCAGTCTTATTCCATTTTTCAAGTGTCTCCTCTATAATTTTGGACTCATCATTGTCTGTACTAAAATCAATATGTTCATTTACAAATTGGTCATTAATATCGGATTCACAAATCTTTGAAAATGTTCTACCAAGAATAATGCTGCAAGGACAAAGGTACCCAAAATTGTTAAAAACATTTTTCAAGTTACAAAATGGATAGTTACTGTTAAGTGCTTCTTTCACTGCGTTTAAAAACTTTTCAGATGGCTCTAATTTATTCGTATTAAATGTTAATTTAATTTTTTCCGAGATGATAAAACAATGGATCTCATTAGAACTTTGTTGTTCGTTAAATATTGGATGAACATTGTTTGTTAAACTTTCTGTTAAAAACGGGATCTCTGTAATATTAAAGTTGTCCATTTTAATACAGTTAGCTAGAATAAATGCTTCTTTTTTATTAAGGGGTTGCCGTAAATGAATATATGATGTATCTAATAAACATATTTCAGGTATTTCAAGAAAATTCATTGCAACTTCCAATCCGTGTATTATGTTATTTTGTTGAATAATCAAGCCATAATGAAAATATAGATTGTTAATCCAATGGCACAAATATATCATTGGTGAATCTTTAGCCCACCTATTTAAATCATCAGGGATAGAGCTATTGGTAATGTACGGAACAATTATATGCTCAATATTGGAGCTCTGAAGCCCTCCGCAAACTTTGTCCATTTTCTGTCTAATCTCATCATTCAGAAAAGTGTATGTTGGAACAATTTCATTGAATTCAATAACATATCCTCTTTTATATTCATAAAGCTCTTCCATCCAAACCATTAGATCATGACCAGAAGTAATTCTTTGCTTATTGTCCGTATCTTCAATTGTGAAAATATTATCGAATGAAATTTTACCGAATATATTAGATTTTCCCGAAAAGATTTGATCATTAGCCCAGTAAAGGTTGGCTTTCAAAATGTCAATACCTTTCACAAGTAACTTTCTTTCTTTAGGACTTGCTGATTTGATCCTAAGTGCACCACCAATAACAACTTTTTTAGTTACATAATCGCCATATTTTTCAAAAAATTTTTGAAGAACCTTCTGAATAGAATTCTCTTGATTTTTTAGTATATTATCAATTGCTCTACTAAATCCTTCAGATATCTCAAAATTTTTATATTCAATATTTAGAATCCGAATGTGCAAGCAAATGTCGATTTCTTCCAATTTTTGGACTGAAACACTTATATTTTTTAGAATATCGAATGGTATGTTTGTATAAATTTGGACATGTTGCTTTACTTCCTGAGAGATTAATGTGCCATTCTTTGTGAGGATTTCTTCTCCATGAATAAAAGTATTACTGTAAACTTTCAATCCTTTGTGTAAATTCCATTGTTGTAAAAGAAACTTATTTATATGTTTTTGAGAATCTTGAGAAATTTTTTGTACATTGTTTGAATCATCATCATCATTCCATGTTTCAATAATTTTTTCAACAGTGGTGCTTCCTCCATACACGCTAGGTATTGATGAGTGAATTCTTTCAGATTTCAAAATGTAGTCAATATCTTTATTATATATATCTTTATCTAGTTCTGATAATATGATATTATTTAAATCAACATTTTCAAGCTTCTTCAAAGCCATCGAACAATCCGGGCGTTTGTCTTAAAAAAAGAAATTAAAAAATATATTTTTAGTTCATTGTCTAACAAAATAAATCAAAATTACATATAAAAATTAAAATTTTGTTAAGGTAGTTTATAATCTCATAAGCTCTATGAATTCAATATTTTATATTATTATGGATTAAAAAAATTATTAAAACACATACCCGGATAATCATGCCAACAATCTTGATATAATTCTTAATATTTAATCAGGGTTCCATCAACAGGCTTTTCTCTTTCACCATTACTTATATATTCAATAACTTTTGTGGTTGTCAAGCCCATATAAGGTTGGATGCCACTGGAAATTTGCCAGAGTAATACTCCCAAACTATAAATATTTGATTTAAATCTATTTGAAAAATTATCATCTTTGTTACTGTAACTTTTGATAAACCCTTTTTCTAACGTCAACTCTTGAGGATTAAGGTATGAAATACTTTCCAAATCATCAGATTTAAATATGGCTCGGCTTCCTAACATCAACTCTCGAGATTCAATGAAGGGAATATTTTCCAAACCATCAGGTTTAAATATGGTTAGGCTCCCAAAGTTGGTTAATTTTAGAATATGATTGTGAATGAGGACATTCTTTGGATTCTGGTAATTAATTTTAAAATTTTGTAAAAAATCAGTTACCAGATTGCATATTACTTTTTTCAAAAATGTAACAATAACTACTATAGAATTCAGAACTGAGTTTGAAATTGAAAATAGGATCTTGATTGTTAATTTGCATGTTTAAATAAATATATATAACTTCATTCTAAAATCATTTTTAAGGTTTTAAATTTCACTTTATAACAGTTTGAATCGAGAAAATTATAAATTATAATCACTTCCAACTAAAAATAAAAATAAAAAATAATTTACCAAGCTCGAATGAACTATTTGATGGTTATGAAGACATTCTAATTCACTGATCAATTGTGATGCTAAATTAATTTTCTGGATCCAATTTAGCTTATTCCTCTCTAAATAATCTGTAAGGTTTCCCTGATTTGTAACTTCCACGAGCAGATAATACATAGAAAGCTTTTCACCTTTGATATGAAAATAAAATAAAATTTTAGAACAGAAAATAGTACTCTAGTAGAACAATAAATATATGACCTAATTCTATAAAGATAAAGAAGCAGTCTGGAAGTATTAATTTTCGGACATTTATTTCACTGAATACGAGTCCATAAATATAACCATTAACGATAGCATAGTGATTAAATCAAATACGAAAATCAAATTTTTATTGCTGTTAAGTCTATCTTATGAAATACTAAAGATTGAAATCTCCAGGTATTCGCATATGAATCATTAATGCATTCTTCCTTACACCGCTTTATTCGCCTGATCAATGGATTATGAATAAACAGAATTCGTTTTCATTGAATAATTTATACTTACTTTGAGAAATAAATGCTTTGATAATATTCTCATGTTCCAATCCCTTGAATATTTAGATATGTTAAATCTTTTTTTTTTATAGTATGAAATTATTTCATAAGCATATACTATATCTTACTAAATAAAAAGCAACTAAATAAAAAGCAACCAAAATGTTTTCCAAAAAAAAGAGAAGATCTGCATATATTCAAGTCCAATTTTACTAGTAGCCGAAGTAAAATTTTAGGCTCCAAAGTGTAAGGTTTCTTTTATCCTGTGCTTGCTTCTAATCAGTAATACATGGTATAATTTGTTATAAAATTACCATAGAAAATATAGATTTCATTTCTTTCTCATCGATATTTATATCTTCATAGTCAGTCAAGATATGACATGTAAATTTTAAATCGTTCAAAGAAGCACAAGAGCGTCCCTTTTTATGTTTTTTGGCGCTAAAATTTAAATTATCAAATTCTATTAGTCTGATATCATTATTTTCGACAGACTGTTCTAACCAATCATACAAGGATATTATATTATTAATTTAATTTTTTTTGAAGATGACTCTTTGGTCCTAAGCTTTTTATTAGTTTTGTAGATGATTTGTGCCAGTAATACAACCTTCTAAAAAGGAAAAAGCTAATCAGTGTGTGAGTTTAAAATTTAATCATTCTGGATTAGCCTGACATGAATTCCGAAATAAGAAAAAAAAGAAAAAACCAAAATATTAGTGTTTAAATCGGTCTTGGTGCAACAATAAATAATGTTGGAAACGGAATTTTCACACAATGGGCAACAGACTATGAATTTTACAAAACCAAATTTCCTTTTGGTGGATCGCTAAAGCCTTGTACCCACATGACTACACCATTTTTATTAATATTAGAGTTATGTTAGAGGTTAGCCTTTCTGACATTTTTCAAGACAGTGATTAATTTTAGCAATTCTACAATTCTATATGCATACAATTCTACATGCATACGATTGTAGAAATGACTTTATTTTAGCACATACTGAATCTGTGACAGGTTATATGATAATCGCAAGATCTCGTATAACTTAAAAAATTTGAAAATAACTACAGTTTGACTTCTAAATAAAAGTTTTCAACACGAAATTTTAGTTACGAGATCATTTTTAAATATCAAATATTAGTAAATTAGTGTCTGCGCCAAATTTTGATCTTTGTGCTCTTTCGATTTGGTAATTGGCATAACTTGTCATAGATTCAGTACGTACTGTCACCAACTATAGTGCTATGTAAACACCCTAATCAAGAACGTAACCTTTGCATATAATATATGCAGTTAATAATCTACAATTCTACAAGCATAGAATTTTAGAATTACTAAAATTATTTATGATCTACTCTTCTCTAGTTGAGACTGTTCCGCGCTGAAGGTTATCTATTTAATAGTTTTCATAATTAACACGGAACTCTAAATATAGGATATAACGATAATGATAATGTTCTGTTACATTGAACTTTAAATACGTACGTGCATACGACCTTATATATACATTTTATCATCGTGTAACATGAAAGCTTAACGATAAAATGAAAACTAAATTCAGTGTATAATTTTAAGATTAATAATATCTTTTTACGATTATTCAAATCTTATAATAACGTCAATGAATCTACTACTGCAATACAAGAAATCTGGATTCATGTAGGTGATACTGAAAAAGATACAATGCTGAAAATATTATGTCCTATATGATTCTTTCGGAAGTGCGCAAGCTTTTTGCACATCATAATGACATTTATATGGGAGAAAATATGAATTTTCTCACAACAAACAAGCCAGAATTAATTTCGACAGAGAAGAAGAATGTAAATATCTAAAATCCTTAATCAAAATCATTGCATCCATATTTACAAAGATCAACAAAACCAAGTTTTTCCAATTTTTCAATAAGCATCGCTTATTTGTGGATGCTATCTTACTTCTAACAGTATCATCAGGAAAAAAATAGAGAGTTATATATCAATTGGTAACTGAAGGAGATATAATGATATAAATCACCCCTGTCAATTTATAATAATTGTGATACTTTTTTTTTTTATTATTAAATAATGTTCAAGTAGAAACTTTTTTACATATAGAAACATAAGTTCTAAATTTAAAGATTTCTAAACTACATTTGTGTTACAATTAGGCACCCAATGTGACATTACTCCCTCTATTTCCTATGTTATGCTATAGTTAATTATTTCAAATTAGGTTCTAGCTAAAATAGGTTAGAGAAAATCTTCGAGTAATTGTCTAAACATTAAATTATGCATGTTGTTAGAGAGTATCCCTGTAAGAACTATTTTGTGATTAAAAGTTTAAGTATTTATAAGTTGAGAGAGAGTTTTAGTATTGTTTGAAGGATTAGATAGAGTTGGTAAACTGATTTTGGTACATTTGGATTTTGATGTGATGTTACAAGAGTTTTCCTATTGGTGTTAATATATATTACAAGATAGACTAAAGATCTTGGTGATACCAGTTAAGTAGTTTGTTTGAAAGGTAGAGTAGAAAAGTATGTGTTTGTTTATTGATAAATGTTTTTGATATTCTTATATATAGTAGTAGAATAAGTTTCAGTAATAGTATATAAAATATATTTGCATTGAGGATTTGAGAAATAAAATGTAAAATTTAAAAAAATGTTTAATAGAGTTGTTGAGATTGTGTTAGTAATTTGGAGTAATTGAAGAGTGTCATGTACAATGTTTTCAAATAATTATAGAACATTTGTTGTATTATTAGAACATGAAAACAAGTGAAGAGTATCTTCAAAGTTTGTGCAATAGAAATAATAAGATGTAGTATAAAGATAGAGATAGAGAACATTAAAGTTTTGTATAGTTGGTAAGTTATTAGTGAGAATTTTAATGCGAAAGGAGTATTTTTGTAAGTTATCTTCAAGAGAAGAAATAATTTTAAATAGAAGAGACCATTTAATATTAATAATATTTTAAAAAAAATTTAAATTTGATCATTTGGCAATTTTTTGAATAATTATAATGTTTTTAATAAAGGTGTATATTTTAAAGAGAATTAAAAGATTGTTTTATAAGAAATGATTTGAAGTATTGAATTTAGAAATATTAAACTTAATAATAGATTTTAAGGTTTCTTGTTTAGTAAATAAATCTGCTTGGTTATGAAATGAGTCTGTAGAATGTGATTTAACTTTATGAAAAGTTATAATAATGTTTTTAAGATGTTTAAGATAATTAATATAGTGGATAATATTCTAGTTTTTAGTTTATATAGGTTTGGAAATGATAAGTTATTTAAGATTTTTAATAATAGTTGTGTTATTGATACAGATATTTAAAGAAGTATTAGATAAAACTGCAAATAAAAGATAAAGGACTGCTTCAAGTTCAGTGCAAATTAAGTTAGAATAGGATTGTATAGCTGTATTGAATTTTATTAATGTGTCATATTTGCAAATTCATTTTATACCAGATTTTATATCTAGAGTTTGAAGATTTTTAATTGATTTATCAGTATTAAAATATAGTTTATTTGTATTAAGTTGAGAAATTAGGTAGTTAAGATCAGTTAATTGTTTTGAATATATTAATAAATAGATTAGTTGTTGGATGAATTGAGTATCATGAATGATAAAATTATTTGTAGTTGTATTAAAAAAGGTAGTTAAGAGAAAGTGAAATTATATATATTAATTAAAGCTAAGATTTCTCTAAAATCAATTTGAATAATTGTTTAGTCATTTGATTTGTTAGTTAGATTATAAGATAAATAGAAGGAATGATAGTTTGGTATAAGATGATCAGAAGTTAAGAGAAGCTGTGAAAGACCTAATATAGATGGAGAGATTTTAAAGAAAGAAGGTTGTTGAAAAGTGGTTTGATGAGAAATATAGAATAGTTGATAATTTGTATAATAAAGTTGATAAAAGGAGAAAGAGTTTGAAAATAAGTGTAATGATATTAATTTAATTGTGTTAAGAAAGAAATTTGTAGAAGGTAGATTTAGAGTAAGTCAAATTAGATTGATAGAATTAGATTGGTTTAGTTGTAGAATTTGGATAAACTATTATGGTTGATGATCTTTAGTTAATTTATTTGTGCATTAATATATATTGTTTCATAGAAGAATATTTTTGTTATCTGCAGTTGTGATTTGTTTTAAGAAAATAATTTTATTGTTTCTAAGACTATTAATAGTAGTAATAGATGGGTTAAGAAGAAGGATATTATAGATAATATGAGAGTTTTTTGGTATTGATGAAGGATAAAGAAAGATTTTGAATTAATTATAGAAGAGATATTATTTAGAAAAATTGAGAAAGATGAAAGAATAAAATATAGTTTTGTGTTTTACAGTAGTGGTTAATTAAGATATTAGTTAAAAATTGAGAAGATCATATTTTAGTTAATTAGTCTTTAATTCATTGTATACCAATGTTTTTGAGAATTGGTAATATGTTAAAAAATATATTCAATATTAGTTGTACTAACTTTTTGAATAATATTATTAAAGAATAATAAATTAAAAGTAAGTAGATTGGTAAGTATTATATTATTAGTATTGTTGGCTAATGATAGCCTTTATTTGGTATGAATAATAAATAGACAGGTAAATTTAGATTGTGTATTTGCATGAATTAGAGTAATTTGAAGCAGATATTCTAAAGAAGTTGTAAAATTAGATTAAAAAGTACTGAAATTTTTGAGTGTTACTTTTTTGTATCAAATAAGAATAAGAAAGTTTTTAATTTTATTTTGAATTTGATTAAAAGTTGGTGTAGGAGAACCTTCTTCATCATAAAACATACCAATATAGTGTACAACATCTTGAGGTTTTCTAGAAAGAATAAGTTGATTGCTCATTGTAAGAGAAGAAGTTGAGTTTGATGTGAATTTAAATTTAATATAAAGAAGATCAGATTTGGAAGCATTAATTTCTATATTATTAAGTTTATATAATGTAGAAGTATCATTTATAATGTTTTGCATTACATTTGCACTTTCACAATGCTAGGTAGTATCATTCATAAAGGCCAATAGTAGAATTATTATTAAGAAGAGTGTTGTATTTGTTATAATATCAATAGAAGATTGGCATAAAATTTTAAGTAAATGGTTTTTGTATTTTTTGTGAATAAAAGAGAGTATAAGATCATAATAAATTTTTTATAATAAAGATAAGTAGGTTTCACTTTGTTTAATACCAGAATTGATTGGTATTAGAACAATAAGACTATGAGCAATAATAACTCTAGCAAAATGATGAGAGTGTAGTTCAGTGATAAGATTGATTCCTGTTGAGGGGATTTCTATTCTTTTGCATATGTCCTAAAGCCTTGATATGTTAATTTTATCAAAAGTCTTAGACATATCTTGGAAGAGAATCCAAGCTTCTTTATTATTAATTTTGTAATGTTTGATTATATTATATAAGATTTGTATAGAAAGATGAGTCGAGGAGTTTTTAGTAGCTATAAAGTTTAAATTTGATAAGAGATTGTGACTTAAAATA